AGGCAAAGGGGGTTTCAAGGGGTCCTCACCGCAGACACTTCTATATTATCACGCGAAAAGACATCTGGGTCAAATGCGTTCAAGATAGCTCGGCACGACAGCTGCTGTGTTTCCTCCACTTTCCTGTAGAAGGCCGAGAGTAGCTGTTGGAACAGTTGTCTCTTGCTGCAGTGGGGGGCGGAAATATTGTGGGCAAACGTGGTTAAAAGGAAAGAGAGCCGGACGGGGGGTGGGGACAGTATTCAAAGGACACTTAAGGGGTACTTGGCCGGGGAACTAGTTCAAACCTAGTGTGCATTCAACTGGAAGCAAAGGGGTCAAGTCCTAACACGCAAGGGAGGCAAGAGAGCCAAAGGGGGTTTGGGGACAATAGCAAGTAAATCCAAACAAAAAATTGACATTGACATGATGGATGTCACAAGTTTTTTGAACTTTTCAGAGCAATTTTCCGATATTTATCGGGTATTTTAAAATTCCATACTTCTAGCCCAATTGTCGGCAAAAAAGCCCTACACTGTGACGCGCTCTCGCAATCATATGCTGCCTGTCTACTTGTCCGTCAAGGGACGCAAAAGACGTGAACAGACCTACGGCGAGCGAATGCTCACTGTGATCACAAAGGTCGGCGGAGATATGCAGGTCAGATTCCTTGCCTGCCTGTGACTCATCAAATTTATTAAATTTGACCACTTATTTTGTTTGTCACATACATTTTGTTTGATCTGGATTATTTTTTTCCAGTGTGTGCATATCGGCAATTAGACTCTCTTTTATCCACCCATTAAGGCCCTCGCGTCCGATCTGGAAGCCATCCTAAAACCCAAGTGTGAATCCGGTCTCTTCCTCTGTCAAGTGGACGAAGCAACCCGCAAGATCATCATAGACGGCATTTTCTTGGACGAAGTATCTGCTTTTTTGCTAGAAAATGGATTTTAGTTTCTCCCTCGTGGTTTTGTACTCGCCTTCTACCCTTCTCAACCAAGTGTACATAGTGAAGTAAAATTTGTCCCGAACTCACAACCTTTTTAATACAGTGCTTAATTCAGAAACTCGGGTTTATCTTTTAGGTTGGCTTCCGACTGCCCGGTGCTTTCACAACTGTCTTATAGTGAAACGGTCTTCAACGAAGGGTTGCTGTGATCTGAACAGGCTATTGGGTCTGACGAATAAGTTATCGCCAGCCGACAGTAACAATACTTCGGAGACGCGTATGGCTGAGGACGTCGACCTATGCATTGCTTTCGAATGAGCCACTCAATGACCAGTTCGCTTACGTATTATTGAAACGACATTTGACTGAAATCAACTGTTAATTATCAATTTCTTAACTTATTTGGAGCTGCGGAAGCTAGACTGATTCTTGCAGACAACTAGAATAGTTAGGCGGGGCCAGACGAGGTCTTGACAGATTTGAGTGATTCATTTGACCCACTTATGAAAGACTCGTCGGCCTCAAAGTTGTGCCCTCTGACTGGAGAAAAGCAATGATCCTCCCCTTGTTTAAAAG